CACAAAAATATAAAATTACCAAAACAAAGTTGTGCTCATATCTCTTTTTTTTTTTTTTATTATTGTAGGAGCAGAATGCGACGCGTTCTAACACTCGTTCACTAGCTTATACGAGGAAAGGATGAAATATTGTGTATTTTTTTATTAGTTTCTTCTTTTTGTTTTTACAGCGTCCGTTAGCGGTGAAGTGGCGCGCCTCCTTTAACATCTATATTTTTATGGTTTTAATTTTGTTTTTGTTTTATTTACTATTTCTCAGCGATAGAATATAACTAAACGTTTTCATTACGTTTTTTTGCGAGAGAAAATTGCACGTTAACCATTGGACAAAACATACCATGCAATCATCTTCAATCCAAAAAAAAAAAAAAAAAATAGTTGCTTGAAGATTGGCGCTCGAGACGTACTTCCTCAGAATAAACACGAACGGCAGTGTGTCGAAAGGCAAGTCTGAAGTCAAACTTTAACTTCGTTCAAACAATTCACTTGTCGCTTTCGACAGATCGGCCGCGTGGCTGGAACGCAAACAGTAGTTCGAGCTGACTTTTACGGCTTCTACTGCCAAAAGCCGATCGCTCATACCATCCTACTAAAGTATTTTTTTAAAGCACTCAGACCATTGCAAGCAACAGATGTGACTGCGTTAAAATTTCGACTTGTGTTTGAATGTGCACTTTGTCCTTCTCGAGTTCATTAGCTCTCCGTTTTCGGCAGAGCTTGCGGTACAGAGACGGTTTGGGTCTACGATTGAAGATCTTGAAGCTGTTCCAAATGCACAAGGGTACTGAACTCTCAGCACGATGCTGGAAAGCGCCTATTCCGAGCACAGGACACTTTCATGTGACACTAGTCTTCTTGGCATAGAGCTCGCATGGAAGCATCTTCGCGTAACTCACACTAACTACCGCCAAGGAGGACATTTTTTAAGCGTTTTTATAAAACTAAGGTGGAAAGATCACTTTTCTGACACTGTTCGTGCGCATAGAAAGCCAAGAATAAAAAATTATGCTATAAAACCTTAAAAAGAAAAAGGAACTGTTTCATACCTTCTTTCCTTCGAAAGCTCTCTGCCTTTTCACTGCGATACATGCGCGGTGCCACGGCACATCAGCAAAATCCACGTCGTCTATTGAATAAGAGCTTACCTCACCAGAACCACGATAATAAACAACAAATAGCCGGCGAATGTTTCGTCAAAGTTTTGTTAAAGAATATTCCGATGCACATTGTGTTTAATAATTAGTGATGTGACGGAAATCGCCCAATTTTATAATGTTTAGAGTGCCTTCATAGACACGCGCGCTTCTGCTTGAGTGGTGACATCTCAGCCATTTTTCCGCCCAGTCGTTTTTTTTTTAATACACATTGAAGTGCGCGCAATCCGGTGTCACTCAGCTCGAGCACGTAGCTTTGGCTAATGCACTTTACCGCCCAAGTCACGCACCGAGTGCGTGAGAGAGTCACGCGCTGGCGCATTGAGGGCGATAATGGATGTTTTCATCTTGAGACAGACAGACATGTGGACACACTAATAATGTTCGGAGCCATGCATCATATATCGTGTGGTAAACGAAGCAAGAGGAAAATACGACTGCGCCTGCGCTGTTCGTTGCTCTCTGCAGAAAAAAACATGGCGTCGGTGGTGATCGTTGACGTGGTCATCGTGGTGGAAGCTCATCGTTCCACGTAGAGCGCTCTGCTTGACTGAATTTTCATCGTGTGTCGCGATGAGAACCCAGCACGTCCTAAAAGGGGAGATTCATATACTCGTGCGGCGATGTTGTGGCGGAACCCTCAAGACAACAGAAACGCTCGTGCCATCGTCTTTGTTTACTTCGACTACAGTCGTGCTTCCTTAGCATTTGTCTCCTCGACCATCACCCGGATTTCTTATTTTGCGCATTCCATGCATCTGCTCAAGTTCAAAGTATTGCTGGCGCGTACTGTGTTTAATGGCGTGTATGAAAGATGCGAATTTTGACGCGTTTTCATTACCCGAGAAACATTATTAGTGTTAGCATTCCTTGAACGATCGCGACGTCTATGCGAATACGAAATTATATTTCTACGTTGCTATATGTCTGCCAAGATTACATCGCATTTGCAATCGTAGAAAAGGCGTGTGGCGAAATTTGTACTACCATTGAAGTTGTGTCTTAAAGTCGTGATCGTCCAAGGCGGCGTACCGCATCTTTTTCTTGTCTTTTCTCATCCACTCTGCCCTGCGAGTCTATCCTGACAAAATAAAAATTAATAAAGCTTAAGCCCTAAGAAAACTTTGTGCATTTTCTGCTCCGCCAGTGAGTGACAGCGCGTCCGCTTCTTTTTAGCGATACCGCGGAAACGGCTGACGGCGACGGAGAAGCGGCTGTCGTGCTGACGACCTGCTGTGCTTGTTGCAGTGGTTGCAGGAGTGCGTACGCGCGGCGCAGAGCAATTGTTCCGGTCGCTCCAGTCACAACGGACGATGTCGTAGCTAACGCGCTTGTTGCAAGAGCGCGAATTGCAGTTTGAGCAGTCCGGAGCTTAAAAAGAAACGGCTGCAGTTTCACCGCTTGCCACTTGAGGAACCACGTCGAAGCTCTTGGTGCAGGCTCGTCGGTTTCAGGAACCCCAAGTCTAAGGTCATCCGTGTATGCTCCGAACATTCCCTACATTGGAATCGCCACTCCTTGTCGTCCGATTCCGACAAAGAACTGGAGTCTTTGTCGGAAGAGTCGCCGCACTTTCCAACCGGCGTATGGGACCAGTCCCTTGCTGTCGCTGTAGCGCAACATATCTAATTGACTTTCGCTCAGCTACAATGTGTCCATGGCTATCGCGGTGATGAGAGGCGCCGATTCAGAAAATATTTCGGTGGTATCTCCGCCATTAGCGCAGTAAAACCCTAGTTCAAAATCTACCGGCACACGACCAGCTCACCGCTAACGTTCCCATTCTCCCACTGCCGAGAGAACTTCCGGTTCCGGTGACAGAGCACGTCACGACCGTCCAAATTACGCCGGGGCTTGTTTTTCGCATAGAGTTATTATACTGCACGCAAGAGGTTCAACTGGCACTAGTGTCTGTGCGACTTCCGGGAAGCAAATTGAAGCAGACAGCAACGAGTGTACTTTTGCGGTGCTCCTGTGCATTCCTATGGGAAAACGCGCGTGAAATTTGTCTCTTCGCCGGAAAATAACATGAATTACTTTTATTATTTCGGTCGTACCGGATAGTATGTACATTTATTAATTTTGTAAAAGTGTAATTGCTTTAATTACAGCATTTTTCTTTACCACTGAACGATGTTAAGCTTCGCTATATTTAAGGCCCAAACCTATGTTCCATGGCATGTATCTGAAAACGAACGATATGATCCTAAGCAAACTAACGATCGAAAAGTATGTAGAGTGTGTTCAAGGTTCGCTAGCATTGCGGTGGCGCTTATATATTGCTAATATGCCCGTCCTGTCACTCTATGAAAATGACTCCGTCGTGCATCTTCACGACGGTTACAAAACATTCGAATATAAGAAATAAAGTACGTGGACTACGAAAGGTGTGCCTTTTTATTATTTCCTATGTCGGGCAGTTTTTATCGGGCACCTGTTCTCTGACTTCTCCCTATTTGCAAAGATTTGGAGCGTGCGGTTGATGATTTGAACCCAGAACATGCATCTTTGCACATATTCATGAGCAGAAAGAATAAAGCAGTACTTATGTATTGCAAATCGGACTATATTACGCGGCTTTCAATTTATTTTGATCGCCTGCATGCACAAGGAGTTACTTATCCAGTGTCACTGCGTAATTCTTGCCGTCTCTCTTGGTTTTCCACATGTCCTTCGTTCGTTTGACACGTATATCCCCCGTCGTGGAAAGCGCCGATGCCGTGTTCGCGCTAACAGTGTCCGACAGTGCACATAAACACTTGTACGAAGCGGTTTTAGGACGGTTTTTCATGCCACGAATTTCAAATAAAAACGCCGTACCCGACCAATTATTTCGTCTGCGTGACTCAGAAATGTTCCAGTGTGCCAGTACGTACGAAATATTCGTGATATTTGCTCTTATAATCGAGCGCAGCGAGAAAATGCACTTGCTTTCTCCCATAGAAATGCATTACCGGAAGTCAATTTCCGACTGGTTGCTGTCTGCTTCAATTTGCAGCAGCACACTAGCGCCACTTGAACCTCTAGCGTACATATAATAACTCTGTGATTTTTCGCTGAGTTGGAGAGAAAGAAAAACTCAATTTTTCAATAACTTTTTATGTATAAGTTAATACACCGAAACGAAAATGGATGCCTGCTCGGCGTTCAGTGAACATTGAATGTTTAATGTAAAAGTTACTTGGCAAAAGTAAAAACGTCATTTCATGGTTACTTTAAAATGCAATGTCTGCGCACGAAATGCTATTTCCATTAAATTTATTGGCTAACAGTTTATCGCAAGAGGTTTATTGGTGCGGTCTGGCTGTTTTCAGTCAAATCAAAGATTATAACGACATAGGCGGAGTTCCACTTTCAAACTCGTATATCTTGCCTGTCCCGGCATGATTGTTTGGTAAGGTAAGAAAGCTAAAAGGTAATGATTTATGACGGCAAGTAATTTTTAAGAATAATCCGTCACTTATCAGGTCAAGTCATTGTAGATATATTATTTAATTTTTATGGTAAGGGCACAAATCTTGCTCAGTTGACCAGCATCGACGCTCGCATGCAGCGGCTGAACCCCTACTCCTTTCAAGTTTAGTCGCCAGCTAATTGAACCACAACCGCTTTTGCACGTTGAGGTTACACTCGGAGCTGTGGTTGCAAAGACGCGCCGCAGTATGCAAAAAAAAAAAAAAAAAAAGTGGTGTTTTAATGAACGGGTGACTAATGTGAACTTCCTGGTGAAGAATGTCGTTGAAGGAGAGGCAGAATACAGTATATCTCGTTGAAACCTTGCCAAATGAGTCGATCTAGAAATGCTGCATGTAACAGTCATATATCCCAGACTGATGAGTTGCTTACCAGGGGCTGGTATGGATTTTCATGACATTTATCCTGCATTTGTTTCCTTAGTTTTTCTTGACAAACTTGTGGCAACTTGTTCATCTCTCCGGAGATATCCAGGCTGGGTTCCGATTGTAGCTCTGGAACGAATACGTTGTAAGGTTTATTCAGAGACAACATTTTAACTGGAAAAATTCAATCAATTTATTTCATTTGGTTGGTTTTCTCCCACCATAACGCATTCAGGCAGGATGTTCCCCATACACCAATCCGCCTTTTCGATGCAACAATTTATACTAATGCCTAAATACTTTAAATATACACCTCTATATCTAAAAAAAAACGGGAGGTGCGTAGATTTAGGTAACGATATTTTATTTGACCAATATTTGAAGGTGGGGTCATTTTTCGTATATTTCGTATAACATTATAGATATTATGAAACAATATTTTGTCACGTTTTATAATTAATCCTTAAAAAACACTACATATTTAATAACGCACCTCACCACTACTAATGAAATCCATTAGGAATTTGAACGGGTTGCCAAATGGTATGCGCCAATCTTAGTAAAAATAAAACTGCATTTATGAAACTCCTGTGTTTTGTCCAAAGGAATCCATTTCCTTTGAGGGAATGGCCCCAATTTTCCATTCCCGAAACCAACTGGAAAGGGATTATTTTGTGAGGATGTATAATACACTCAGTCGCGGTTGTCAAGGTTTGAAAAGAATGTGCTGTACACATCAAAATGAGGAATATTGCCATGATTATAAAGAGTAGGCGAATGTAGAGCTGACAAGGATTGTTCAATAAGACGAAATTTACCTACCAAGCAAATAAATAAATGTTCCGCTGCATCATTCGTCGGACAAAAAAAAGACGGGTGTCTTGACTCTGCGAATGACCTTTGGATTTATACACTGCACGTTCACTGCTTTCATACACGAAGTACGTTCAGGTAAGCTCAAACCCAGAACACATGGTGGCAGCCGAGAATGGATCGGATCGTTTCAGTATAGGAAAGACTGATCAAAGAAAGAACATATCCAAGGGAGGCTTGAAGTTCGAACCCCGATCGCCCCCGTGGCGGCCGCGAACGTTGCCGAATCCCCCAAGCACGCGACGATTCGCGGTGAGTCGCTCGCCAGGGGAGTTTTTGTTTTCCTCAATTTGGGTAGTGCACATGGTACCCACGCTGTTATGCTTTAATTCTCAAAGTATATAGAAACTTGGAATTGCACTTGCTTGCACGAACAGGGGAAGTTGAATTGTCCTAACTCTGGGTTGTCACAAACTCCACAAGGCGGTGATACCCAAACTTGTTGTCACAAATAGATTACAAAAACCACACTGCAGCCAGTAGCAGTCTCGGAATTCAATCCGTCAAGGTTGGTACCCGCTATCACCTTGATGAGAAATAGGCACGCAGTCAAAATATTTTGATTTCGTTGTTCACTACCATCATCTATATCCAGTTCCTTTAAGCACGGGCGTGACTACTCATGCTCCTTAGAGCGCCCTTACACTAAAAACAAACCAAAGGAACAGCCTTCTTTCTCGATACAAACACAATATGTTTCCGCCAATCCTCTCGGATTTCGGTAGGAGTAACTGGCGAGAAACGTGTTGCTGTGTTCGCCTGGCAGCAGATCTGTTCGCTAAATTGTTTTCAGTCGGGTAACAAAGGCGACGTCACCCTGTGTAGACAATCCGGGAACACACCGAAATGTTAATTTGTTTACTTTCGTCAGCGTGCGCTCGCCACAGGAATGTGCTTTTACGAGCTATTTTCGCTTTCGCCAGAGATTGCTGCGGAATGACCGTCGTCCATGACAGTGTGAGTCTTCCACAAAAAGTGCACGCTTGGGCTATTTCGCCGTGCTACATGAACAATAAGTGTTCAAAAAAATAACTTGACTCAGATTTTTGCGTTTGTCCAGCCCCCAATATTTTGACAAGCCTCACACAAAAAGAAGGTTTCTAATTCAATGCTTAACTAAGATTTTTTACGGCAATATAGGGCTAAGCTACCAATGAGCCTACTATTGCAATTTTTTTTGTGTTTGCCTTTTTTGCGTGCTTTGTTATTAAGAATTGATTATCTTTAGGTGTCGGAACTAATGGCCACATGATCCCGCTCCTATCATAAGAAATCATTTGTCATCGCTAGTCTTTTTAATAATATTTTTATTTCATTTTATGTATTTTAACCAGTGACTGGGTATTTAAGTTTTGCATTAAGCCATGATGTCGTCGGATGACCGCCTACAGTTCTACTTTTATTTCTAGTTAATTACTTAGCTAAGAAATGTTTAGGTTTTGTCTTCCAAAGTTGCGTGTAAAAAAAACTAATTATTTCAGCTCCACATAAAGCTTAATTACCGTTAAATATTGTCCCCCAAGTTTCCATTTAGGCAAATTCCTACGCAAAAACAAATCCTACTGTCGGGAAGCACTTCAATTTGAGTTACCTGTGTCGGTATGTTACCGCTCCAAAATTGGCTCAGCCACCAATCCGGGCGACAGGCGTTGTCAGGCACAAATTGCTTCTCTTTTTTGTGTTGTCACTCAAACAAATCATCGTATCTCTTATCAATATTGTGCTGATGTTCGCAAAATATAACAACATTGTGAGGAAACACAGCGAACGACCATCAAGCTGACCGCTGGTTGATGAACATGCTGTGTTAATGTCACCGACGGGTTTCCTTGATGTGACCTGCAGCCCCCTGAACTTAACTATCGCGAAGCACGTCCTTGAGACATTCAATCAGAGTCAAGGCTTAAAAGAACGCATATTAGACATTCCGATATTTCTTTAATAAAAAAAAAAAAGATGTTTAATTTTTATCTGAATATAGTGATAAAACCGCCATGCGCAAAACTGTATTTTATGAGGAAGACAGCCGGCGCTCACGATCAACATCCGCCTACCCGGTGCGTGCCGCCGCGTCTTTAAAAAGCGTCGCCTCTGGGCCCTTCTACGTCTTTTTTCTAGCGACGACACGCTGGACAATGTACAGCATGAAGCGACGGAGCGTCGTGTGGGGTGACTAATCACGTGTCAACACGCGCAAGCGCTTGGCATGTTGTTGGCAGAGCAGGTGCTTGGCAGATGCCCAACGCTGCTAACCTTCAGATACCCACAGCGCCCTTGCGGGCGCTGTAGGGTATTTGAAATAAATAGATAAATAACTAAATAAATAAATAAATAAATACGTAAATGAATAAATCAATAAATACGTAAATGAATAAATTAATAAATACATAACTAAATGAATAAATAAATAAATAAATAAATATGTGCTACCCCACGCCTCACACATTCACAAGATCTGAGTTAGAATTTGTTAAAATGCTATTCTGCTTTAAAAATATAGCAGCTGACCGTCATTTTATTGTTTCCCTTAGTTAACTACTATTTATCCTTCCTTGGAAACAGAGGTAGGTCTACAATCCGAAAACCAATATATCGTCGGCACTTATATATACTATATTTTACGGGTAACTATGATGTAGCAGAAGTATTTCTACGCGCGCGCAACTGTAACTGTGTCACTGGATGCATCTAGAAAGTTGCAGCTGTGTTTGAAGCTCAATTATATCTAGGTTACACTAAAATCTAGTTGCATCTCAAACATTCTTTAAGAGTAATTTTCACTGCTCTGGAAACCAACATATATTGAAGTTTCTACAAAATTAATTAAAACAAATTTTTGTATTCCCTAAAACCTGCAATCACAAAACACACGGATAAAAATACAAATTTAGTAAACATACTTGCCGAGGGTTATTGATTGACAGTGTACCACATAATCAATCTTATTAGTGAGCTTCCCTGGACTGCTGCTTCCTTCTTTATACACTCTAAGAAATTTGAGGAGACTATACTTTCCCTGCAAAGCACTCGGGAGACCCACTCGCTGCAATCTGTAACGGCCTCGCAGAGTAATTTGTTTCCAAGCTACCATCACTTACATAGATTCGTCAAGCTAAGCAATAAATGCAAGAGGAGTTCTCCTCCTCGAAACGGAACCAATCACACCCCTGTTGTTATTGGACGTCACACAATGTGCGGAGGGGGGCTTGATGAATGACAAGGCTGAAAATATAAGTAGACCTAAAATACCGTCTGCGCTGTCACACTGATCACGATTGAACGTCACGTTCAGTGTTTGTGATTTGATATTTCAAGTGCTGCGCGGGAAAGTGGACTCTCCAGATTTCTTAGAGCATTGCTCATATCACTAAGTAGCAAATCATTCGTATACAGTAAATGCTTACCGCAAGACAGATGCGTAAAAGTCACAATAACAATGAAGAGGGCCAGTTGCATTTTTACGTTAATACGTGAAAAGCTATCACGGAAATCGTCGTCCTGAAAAAAAAAAATTAAATACGCTGATTATAAAGTAAACTCAAATATTTCGACTTTCTTTTTCCTATATTACAAATATTAGGATTATTTTATATGCTTAACAAAATGCCGTTTGTATCTCTTTATATTATCTAATCAGTGATTTCTACTAAATATATGGAAATTTCTTAATGTCTTCCAAAGTTGCTTTTACTTCAGAGGATGAGTCTTGAAAGCTATGTGATATCGTGACGCGTCGTTATAGCTTTAATATGTGCATTACTGACTGACGGTATCGCTAATAAGATCAGGCCAGATGTGTCATGGAATTCCCGACTTGAGATTGGTCTATACTTCGTTTCACCTTATGTGCGAGCGAAGCCAAAGCTGGAAGCGCGAGCACGAAAGCTCCATGCGTTCAGGCTTTGCTCGAGCGCGCGAGCTGGGGAGAAGCGCAAAAAGCGTTGGTCTCGCGCTTCTAGCTTTGGCTTCGCTCCCAGATAAAGTGAAACGAAGTATAGTAACCGCATTTTTTGTAGATTTTCGAAACATTTTTAGAAAATATCTTGTACAACTCGTTGTGTTGCTCAGACACTTCAAAATTTAATTAACTTCACAAATCAGTGTCAATTTGAGAAAAAATATAAACTACCATAAATATATTCGTGCATTAAAAAATATATTGTTCTTAAAACAAATACACGTTTCTCAATACCGAGGCGACACTGAAATCACGGCATTACGAGAAAGTACCAGAACTTCACAGTTTCGACTTACCGGCGCAAGCTTCAGGTTCGTGTCTCTACGCGTTTATGGTTCTCTTTATATGGACATCTCTCGTTTAAGGATTAAGGCGTTGCGACTTTTTTTCTTTTTCGAGGCGACTTTTTATTTTAATGTTTCAAGGCTAACATGTAGTTTCACGAAAATGCTTCTTATTTTTAAGTAAGGTAACTCTCCCCACAGTGTATGAAACCATAAAAGCCAAAATGCTGAGTGATTTTGTTTTTGGTTCCCTTCTTTTCTTCCTTTGTTTAGAGATCACACAATTGTTTTCGATTCTTAGCGAAGCAGTTCTTCTGTTCAAGCGGTTTCCTAGAATTTCTTTTTTCCAAGCTCACGCAATGCGATTGTTGCGTTTTAAGATTAGTTTTTTCGTCCCGGCGAGTTTCGACAAACACCGTCATTTCACTGTAGCTCCAGAACGAGAATAAGATGATTTGGGCTCTAAGCCCTGCATTGCTGGAGCTGTAAGGGACAACAATTACCCAGAAAACAACACTCGCTCTAAACTAGAATACATGTGCCTCCACAACATCGCATAACAAGCTGTGTACTGACATAGCCTCCTCTATATTCACAAAGCCTGGCAGTTCAATGACGGAGCCATCTGCCTCCAGGTGGTCAGGCCCGCACCGCCGCACCTCGCCAGGCCGCTTCGGGCCACAGCGCGTGCTGCGCAGACATGGAGAGGGCTTCTCTGGTGGCGTCACCTTGGAGCCACGCCGCACGAGAGCCAATAGGAGCCTCGTTCCTTGATGACGCGCGCCAACCAATCGGAGCCTGTCCATCAGATTTCTGCTGCAGACGACAGGCTTCGCTCCACTGGGACAGGGGAAGGTGCCGTTTGGCGCGGCTTCAAAGCTGATGGCGTCGGTTCGTCCGTGGGACTGTTATTAGGGAGTTTTAGCAGGTCGTTTCCACACGAACGGTTCGCCCTCGAACGTATCCGCGACGCCACTGCGCATGCGTGCGCGAGTCGTTCGGGGAGTCGGGAGGCTCTTCTCGTTCGTTTCTCCCATTCCAGCCTCTGGAGTCGTCACCGCAACGCAGCCAGCACCGTTCACGACTCGGGTAAAAAAAAAGATGGCGGTCGGTTCGGCGACCGCCTTCGCCGACCCAGCCGAGCGTTAGGCTTAGGACAGCGGGAGGCGATTTGCCGTCCTGTTCGTCTGCCTCATTTGAGAGGTTGAACCAAATCATTTCGAGGACTGCTCATAATGGTAAGCGATCGTGAATGCTGTAAACTGTGCATGCTAGTAAATTTTTGCGATCTGCAGGCAGACTAGCTGCCGTGGCGACCGCGAGCAGACGAAATTATTTGGTTCGACGGCACACAACGTGAACGATCCCTCAAGTTGAAGATGATGGAGACACACCACATACCTTTACGGTCGTTCAGACACTTTTTACTCTATCTAGCTTCGCAGTTCTTGAAATTCCGACCGGCAAATGTTACGTCGGCCGTCTTGTTTACATCAGTCGTACGCCGGAAACACGAGCCGCCACGGATTTACACGTTGTAGAATGTTTCACATGTTTACTAGAAGATGGCGCCACCGTTAAGCCCAATCATCATCATCGTTTACACGGTTGCGTCACTTTCACGATTCGCTAAAGTATGTCAAATTTGAGGTACGGTTTCACGGAACGGACCAGCTGCACCGTTCGTGATTTCGGAACCGTGTGCTTGAAAAACGACTCGCTAAAACTCCCTATTGCTTTCGCTTTAAGGCCGGTTCACACACGTGAGCACGGGAGCGCTCAGCGATGCGTGAGCGCTCAGCGCTACGTGAGCGCTAAGCTAGCGCTACGTGAGCGCTCGGAGGATCGCTCATGTGGCGCTTCGTGTAGCGCTCGGTTAGCGCTTCAGCAGCGCTCTGTTAGCGCTTCGAAGCGCTTTGTTAGCGCTCTGTGAGCGCTTCATAAGAGCTTTGTTAGCGCTCTCACGCTCCTTGTGCAGTGCTTGTTGTTGCAGACTAGCGCCTGCACGGCGATTTCTTTCACTCTCAAGAAAAAAGGGTGTAAAATGGTGTATCGTTACACCCTGTGTCCCATATAATACACCCCAAAACTTCATTTCGACGTACTGAGCCCTATATGATTATTATTCAATAGCTAGAGTGCGTATCGAAGACCACATGAAGAAAACACCAAGTTTTCTACAGTAGGGCCAAGAAAACCCCGATTATTTTTTTTGTAGTCCCTAAAACATACATTAGCTAGTTTAATCAGTTGTACCACACGGCTATCAAGCCCCTCGTAAAATTTGGGGCCGTCTGTTCGACTATAGGGCCCTGTACCTCGAAATTAAGTTGTGGGGTGTATTATATGGGACAAAGAGTGTAATAATACACCCTTTTACACCCTTTTTGCTTGAGAGTGTTAATGTTTTTTTTCTTTGGCATTGAAAGAAAAAGAAGTAAAAGAGCCGCTCTCCAAGCAAAGCAGAGTCATGTACTCTGAGCGACTAATTGATTGGGTACGACATCATCGCTTTCTATTCAATATGCGTGACCCTGGTTCCAAAGACACGCAGTTAAATCATCACCTTCGAAAGAGCTCTGTCTCTGCCTATCAGCCTGGGAACAAGGTTCGCCGGATACCCGTCGGTATCTTGGTGGCGAAAGATTTCGCGGACCTAGAAGCCTCTTCTGGGCGGCAAGTCGTCCACAGACATATGCACTAATTGGGTATGTAAGAGCATTTGTCCCGTTTCTAGTTCAGCGTCCCACATGTCCGCCTTGGTACTGTTGATGCACAGCCAACCACAGGCACCGGAACCGCAGTGCAGGCACTAATCCGCAGCACCGCGGTACAAGAAGCGTTACTGGAGCGCTAACACGGCGCTACTGAAGCGCTAACAAGGCGCTACTGGAGCGCTAACAAAGCGCTACTGAAGCGCTAATCACGCGCTATATTAGAACAAAGTCACGCGCTAGGAAGCGCAACATGAGCGCTCCTTCGAGCGCTCACGTGGCGCTAATTTTAGCGCTCCGCTGTATGTTTGAACAGGCCTTTAATACTAAAGTTTAGTTATGGCGGCGCCCATGCACAGCTGCTCTGAAGCGTCTATCTCTATAGCGAGAGCGTATACTGGATGGCTCTCCTTGCATAGGGCGCAAACAATGTGCAGGCCAGGCATATGTTTCTTTTCATCAAACCGCAAGCTTTCTTACTTTATATCATATAAAAAAGGGGACTAAAGGACTTATTACAAATGATTGATTTTTATATATCTCCAAAACCCCGGCATCGGACGTTTTTATTTATGACCTCAATTGTTTTTAGGGCGAACGCTTTAAAACAATATTGGGCAAAAATTTGGAGTAAATTTGGCCATAAAAATGTGATTGCGCAGCACGCGTCGCTCAAACGTATGCACAAGGACGACGTTGTCCTTGGCGTCGTCCTTTCGGTCGTCCTAGAAGTCGTCCTAGATCTCTAGGACAACTTCACTTGTCGCAGTACGTGAAAAACAAGCGTCGTCGGCGCCGTCGGCGTTGTTCTCGAAAGATGGCCATAAAAATGCGTCATCTAGCGTCATCAGCGTGATCTCATCAAGCGTCATCATGCGTCATCAGCGTGATGCCACTGCCGGAGCGCCATGTGCAAAAGATGCGCTTCGGACTTCATCTGTTCTCGTTGTGCGCTTCGTGCGAGGGACTGTGAGGCGTCTGCATTTACTGCAAATACGCCACAGCCTCCTTAAAGGGGCCCTCCAACAGTATTTGAGCGTCGACTTTTTTTTTGCGGTTTCTACACGCTAGTGGTACCGGAAACCCAGTGGACAACGAAAGAGTTTGAAAATATTCGCGCATCATATTTTAATTTGACAACTCGGAAACACCTCCTCCGACGGTGGCGCCGCGAGGTGCGGAATGCGCGCTCAGAACTGCGCTCCCTTTCACTATACGTCACATTCTCTGGGTTTCGTGATTGGCGAGAGCCGTCCCAGGAATTTTGAAGCGAAATAAAGTATATCACACGTTAACCGTCATTATTTTTCAAACAAGTCATTTTTACAGACCTAATAAAGTTGCAAAGTAAAGTTCAAAAAGGGCGAAAACAACGCCTTGTCGCTCATGCGCGCCTCCCAGCGGCGTCCGCGACGTACCATCGCGAGCAGACGACAAGTGATCCGTGCACACAACGCGCATCGTATTTTCACTTGTGCGCCCCCGGTCCCGGTCAACTAAAAGCAG